GCGAGACCGTCGCCGCGTTAGGGTCGTTCGTAGAAAGGTACTTTTCGTTCCAGTTACGATTCGATGCGTGTCTTCCTTTTACGCAACGCGAACGTAGGATTACGAACGTAGGTGTTGTTACGCGTCGAACGGAACACGTAACGCGCCTGTTCGGCAAACGAGCTCGACCGTTCGGATTTCGCTCGGCGAATCGAAGGTATTCTCGATCGGCGCGATTCGAATCGACGTCGCCGAGTCGACGGTACGCGACGCGAATAATCGAAGAAAACGATCGATCCTCGAGGAGAGGATCCGGCGACGACCACTCGATCCGAGAAAGCATCGGGCGGTCTATTAAACGATCGAGACCGAACGACTTTAGCGGCAAATTATCAGGCCGTAGGCAATTACCAGGTGGGGGTTCGATACAGAGTGAAGCGGTTCGAGAGTTCCGAGAATCGGTCGTGGCTAAAAATAAGATCCCACCCGGGAGCAGTGATTATGTTCCGAAAAAAGAGAACTGGGCGAAACGCTCTCCTCGGCGTGCGCAGGTGCCGCAGATGAGACGTGGAAAAAGGACGAACGAGAAACCGTCGTGCGTTCGAGAATCTCGCGTTGCCCCTCGTCTCGCTGCGCCACGAGAGTAGAGAGAATAACCAAGAGAGAGTAACCAAGAGAGCAACCAAGAGAGTAACCAAGAGAATAACCAAGAGAGTAGAACCGAGAGAGTAAGGAAGAGAGGGGCCCCATGGTTTCGCGCGCATTGCTATGCAGTACCGTGCCATGCCGTGCTCAGCCGTACTCTGCCGCACCACACCGCGCACCGTTCCATTCCGTTTCGTTCCGTTCCGTTCCGCGTGGTATCGCGTCATGCCGTGTCGTGACGTGCCCGTGCTTCGCTCCTCCGCTTCGTTCCTCCGCTTCGTTCCTTGCCGAGTCGAGCTTTGGCTCGGCTTAATGAAGTTGTCGGTTCAGGACGTTTACAGGTGGGGTCTACCTGCGTGTGGTCCATTCACGGGGACTGCCGCGGGACTGCCGCGGGACTGGTTAGGATCGCTTTACGTCTTTGCTTTTACCTCTCGTACCGCTTCGGGATGCCGTGCGTTCGAGCGGGACCGATCCTCCTTGTCGTCACCGTCGCCGCTTAGTTGTTTGTTACCGTCGATGCAGAGTGGCAGGAGGGCGATCGCTATTACGTTCCCTGCTCGCCTTAGAGCGACCGGTGATAGAGTTCGCGTGGAAGGGGATTCGCGAAAGGGAGCGCCGAAACTCGCGTGTACGTACGATATCCGAGGAATCCTCCGCCGCCACCTACTCTGCCGATCTACGCCACCTACCGATTTCTATTTTCGCCGAAGCTTTCGATCGAACCTGCCCCTTCTTGCTTCGTCTCCTCGCGACGTCCCCTTACTTTCCGCTCGCGCCTCCGTCCTCGCTCGCCTCTTGTTTTCGCCAAATATTCTCGGCCGCGATCGTAGCCGTTTCGCGAGGATCCACGCGATCCGTTTGTTTCTCGGTTTTGCGCCACCGCCGGTAAGACGATTCGTTTTCTTCTTTTGCAGACAATGCATCGACAACAGAGACTTCGATCGCCATCGTTACCCTCGTCGTCGTCGTCGTTATCGCTGCCGCTCTCAACGTCCCGATCGCCGGTCTCGACGTCGTCGTCACCGATGACGTTATCCGCGTCAACCTCGATGTCGTCCGCGTCGCAGCCGTCAGCGTCTACCTTTTTATCCTCTACGAGCACGTGGCCAACCTCGAACCAGTCGTATTCTTGGAGCGTGCAGCAGACTTCCTGTTCGAGGTTATCCTCGTTACCGAGCGAATCGTCGCTCGTTTCGACCGCTTCGATACCGTGTCCGAGATTGGTTTCCGTGTTGGCTTGGTCGGTGACGTTGTTACTCGTCTCTTCCTGTATCGGCCTGACGGACGCTGGAATCTTGAACGGGCATCCTTTGGGTAAAAGGTCGTTCATCGATATCCAATGCAAGGGTATATACGACAAGAGCATTTTCGCTCGATTGGATCGTATCTGCGAGGATTGTTACAACCTATTCCGGGAGCCTCAGTTGCATCAACTGTGCAGGTAATCGCGTTTACGGCAATTCTCCTCCTCTCTACGCTCTCGCTCTTGCTCTCGACGTCGTCGTTTAATCGCGAACGCCGAGCCGACTCTCCTTCGTTTTTCACTTTTTAACGCGTAACTCGGTTCTATTCTCGTTTCAACTTTTCGTTCTGACGCGCCTCCGTCTCGATCATCGATCCCGTGCGATCCGAAATTTATCCGAAATTTATCCGAAACCGCGTCGAAAAGTCGTCGAAGAATCTGCTCGTCGAACGCGTCTCGATTAAACGATTTCGATCGGCGAGAATGTTTCTCGTTCGTTTTCAGCGGCCGGATCGAGGACGAATCCCGAGAGAACGCGACAACGGATTAGCCGCTTATACCGTTTATATTTTCACATTTTCTTTTTCCAGGAAAAACTGTTTCACGTCAGACTACTTCAAAGGATGCTTAGACGTGCTATTGCTACAAGACGAAGTAGAGAAGATCCAAACGTGGATCAAGCAACTTCACGGAGCGGAACCCGGGGTTTAGGTAGCTTCTTTTTTTACGTTTATGATTTATCGTTACCGCTTATTTTCGTTTCCTTGCTTTTTACGCGTATATCGTTCGGTGTCCGCGTTCTCCTATACCCCGCTACGTCCATTCCTCTCGCCGGGACCTATCGCTTGGCCACTTTCTCCCTCGAGCAACCGCGCGTTTGTCCGTTTCGCCTAAATTCCTTGCCGAACCTTCGCGATCTTTTCTTCCCAGCATTCTTACGTTTTCCCCGTTCGTCGTTACCCGTCTTTCGCCGACTGTATGTTCGTTTTCGTTGCTCCCCGATAAACTCGATCCCCGATTCTACCTTTCCGACCGATCTACTACTTCGTTCCGTATTCGCGGATTCCTACGAAAAACGATTCGCCTTTGACGTCGTCCCAACCATTGACGGACAACGATTCGACGATACGCGTCTATTCGCGCACGCTGTACACGTTATTAGGTAATTGTCTCAGTTTAAATTCGCGATAGCGAGTAACATCGATCGGTAACGACACCGTATCGTTGTACGGGTAGACAATTTTTTCAACGCGACTCTTCCCTTTTTCTACCCACCACATTTTTTCCAACGCAACGAGATATCGCCATTTTTTCAAAACCTTTTTCAACGTTTTTACCATTTTTTTCGGCATTCGCGCGAGGCATATTTTTCAGACTGCCGTGCATCGTTCGCCGATGGGGATGCTGCGAAATCGATCGAAACATGTCTTTTTGCGACGTTTAAATATTTTTGCAGGTTCTCGCCGAGAATATGGTCGCGAGATTTTTTGCATCTAGCCTCGTAGCGATGACGAGCTGTGTTTTGCGACGGATCCGTCGCGTCGTGTCGCCGCTAGCGCGTAAACGTTCTCCGATCCGTGAAAAACGGACACAGATATCGCGAAAACGACACGACGCGAACGAGTCCTCGCCACGAACCACGAGATACAACGTCCGCGTTCGATCGCTGAATCTAATGACGTTCGTTTGTTTGCTGTTGCGTTCGTTTAGGCAAGGCTGCTTTGGTACGCAATACTTTACGAGCTGTTATCAGGCGTTGCTGCTTGAAGACGAGAAGGAAAAGTTTGAAGAGATGGTCGAGTATCTAGGCGGTAAGAAGTAACAGGGAAGAAGAGAGAGACGCGCTCGCATCGCGAACGGTTCATTCGCAACACCCAAGATGAACCACGATTCCAGCGACGACGTCGACGAGGAACAACGAACGAGACGCGAAAGACGAGAAACGAGATACCAGATACCAGATACCAGATACGAGATACCAGATACAAGATACGAGATACGGCGAGCTATCGACTTCCAACGTTAACCATCCTCGTAACTGTACGCAGAATCTTGGACACAACGGCATTCGTTCGATGTTCCCTTCGCGCTCTTCCCTTTGTCACATTTGTCGAGACATCGAACGCGCACCTAAACTGGGGATTCGAAGTGCGCCTTCGAAGCACGCTAAGCGATCGTCGGTACACGTACCTTACCCTCTTTCTTTTATTAGGAACGCAACGATACTATACTATACGATACGACAACGATACGATACGCTACGCGAACCCGATCGATATTCGATAGAGAACGACCAAACGACGGATCGAGATTGATTTTAGAAAATTCCAAATGAAACAGACGCGATCAGCCATGGTACAGTTGCTCTTTCGTTTATTACGATCGTTTTCTTCGTTTCCGTTCCGTCAAAAAGTTGCGCGTCTCGATTCCAATTCTCTACGCCTCCATCTCGACCCTCGATAAACCCATCTACGAATCTAGTCGACAGAATATTTGCGCTCGCGTATTGCGCCTTTTGTCTTTTTATCCGATTAATCATTAATTATTTTTACGTCGAGTATCGTCGTTCGTTATTACGGCGATTATTATTTTTTATTTTCTTTTATAATACATATATATGTATCTATATATGTATATATACATATATGTATATATAATACATATATATATAATATATACATGATACGTATCGCTGAGTGAATTCCTGTGACGGAAAAGACAGCGATTACGCTTTACACGCGTTACTTATCCACGTGCATCGATTCGCTGAAATTTGGTCAAATTGCCCGAACGCGATCCTTTTTCGTTTGCTAAAATTATCGTCGAAAATATTCGCGAATTAGAATAAGCCATTTCGAACGCGCGACGCTCGGAACTACGCGACCAATTTGGATTTTATTCTGATAGGACGGAGTTTCACCGATCGGACGATCGTTTTTGCTCGATCGGCAAAGAAAAGCCATCGAAGAAGCACGAAAACCGTTCGCGAACTACCTTCTTATCGATGCCGACGTTAGTTTTATTTAGAATACCTTTTTTACTCTCTATCGCTGAATCTCTGTTGTGAATCTCTATCGCGAATCTCCTGCTATCCTCACTTACTTACGCTATATTATCGCACCGATCGAAACACCTACCATCGTTCGTTTTATCGTTACCGCTACTGCTCCTATTCTCGTTACTCTCGCTGCTACTACTTTTATCTCGCCAACGGTAACGGCAACGCCGTCGCCAATTCCATCGATACACTTCGTTCTAACCAGCCTCGTTCTTCCAATATTATTATTATTATTATTATTATTACTATTATTATTATTATTAATATTATTATTATTATTATTATCATCATCGTTACCGTTGTTGTTGCCATCGACGAAATCGTTATTGCTTTTGCTACCCTCGTTACATCGTTACCGTTTCGACTTGGAACTCGATCAAACCACGACCAAACTTACCTACTTTCGCGATTATTATTCTTCCTGTTATATTTCCGTTGCTCTTTCTCTCCCTCTCTAACAGCTAACACCGTCATCGTTGCTATCGTTACTATTATATCGTATTACGTTATATAATATTGTATTGTTAGTTTATAGTATACTTATTGTTGTTACAATTGTCACGATATCGCTACGACGACTCCGTGTTCGTTTTCGACGATTACGAAGGTATATATAATACATATATATATAATATATACATGATACGTATCGCTGAGTGAATTCCTGTGACGGAAAAGACAGCGATTACGCTTTACACGCGTTACTTATCCACGTGCATCGATTCGCTGAAATTTGGTCAAATTGCCCGAACGCGATCCTTTTTCGTTTGCTAAAATTATCGTCGAAAATATTCGCGAATTAGAATAAGCCATTTCGAACGCGCGACGCTCGGAACTACGCGACCAATTTGGATTTTATTCTGATAGGACGGAGTTTCACCGATCGGACGATCGTTTTTGCTCGATCGGCAAAGAAAAGCCATCGAAGAAGCACGAAAACCGTTCGCGAACTACCTTCTTATCGATGCCGACGTTAGTTTTATTTAGAATACCTTTTTTACTCTCTATCGCTGAATCTCTGTTGTGAATCTCTATCGCGAATCTCCTGCTATCCTCACTTACTTACGCTATATTATCGCACCGATCGAAACACCTACCATCGTTCGTTTTATCGTTACCGCTACTGCTCCTATTCTCGTTACTCTCGCTGCTACTACTTTTATCTCGCCAACGGTAACGGCAACGCCGTCGCCAATTCCATCGATACACTTCGTTCTAACCAGCCTCGTTCTTCCAATATTATTATTATTATTATTATTATTACTATTATTATTATTATTAATATTATTATTATTATTATTATCATCATCGTTACCGTTGTTGTTGCCATCGACGAAATCGTTATTGCTTTTGCTACCCTCGTTACATCGTTACCGTTTCGACTTGGAACTCGATCAAACCACGACCAAACTTACCTACTTTCGCGATTATTATTCTTCCTGTTATATTTCCGTTGCTCTTTCTCTCCCTCTCTAACAGCTAACACCGTCATCGTTGCTATCGTTACTATTATATCGTATTACGTTATATAATATTGTATTGTTAGTTTATAGTATACTTATTGTTGTTACAATTGTCACGATATCGCTACGACGACTCCGTGTTCGTTTTCGACGATTACGAAGTTAGAAATTGCCGGGAAAGAATCGTGCATCGTACGGAACAGCGACGAATACGACGTCGATGGAACGACCGACTCGAGCTCGGACTCGTCAACGCGAATCGGATTATGAACGGAGTACGTTATTCGTACGTATTACACGCGTAATATTTATTTATTTCTTCGCGTTCTTTAATTTCGAGAAGGGCGATCGTAAAGCGGTCATAAAACTTATCGACGATCTTCTTCGACGAGATGCTATCGTATCGTAAGAAAAAGAAACGACGATAGAACGAGATGTCTATCGTTTTCGCCTGACATACGTATTATTCGTGCTCCAATGGATGATCTCTGACTGTCTTGCAGGAATCGTTGGTAACTGGCCGATATCGAGATTCCTCTTTTAATCTTATCGAATATTATTTAAGATTCTAACGCATTCCCAGTTTAGGGAATTACGAGCATTCCAAAATCAGTATTGAACTCATTCCGACACTGTTCCACAATCTTCTTGTCGACGCATATTCATTTTGTTTCTACCGCCGCGCACCGGCTCTCCGCCGAGAAACGCCAATTATTTCGACCGATTCGTTCGAAAGCTGTTCATTCGAATTCAAACGAAGACGGACAACCGCTACAACTTTTCACTACTTTACTCTATCTTCGCTTTCATCCTTTTCTCTTCTCTTCTCTTATCTTATCTTATCGTCTCTCCTCTTTTCTTCATTTTTCTAGTTTTTTAACTTATTCGTGTTTTGTCCCGACATTACCATTATTACGCTTTCGAAATGCGCAGGTAGAAACGAAAAGAGAAACGGCTAAGAATGCGTATACTATCCGATTTGATTCTTGTACAATTCTATATATAGATATATAGATATTAAAGATATATATATATATATATATAAATATATAATGTATATTATATTATGCTTTATATAATATATAATATATATTATATACATTATACACATACGTATATATATACATACACAAATAAATACGTACATCCGTATATGCGGATGTATGCGAGCACGCGCGCGCAGCGCGTTAGTACACGCTGATACTGTGCGTGTGCACGTGCGCGTTCGCATACCCACGAACGCGTATACAAAATGTAAACGCATGTATATGCATACGAGAATGCGTACACGCTCTTCATGTACCTAAGCGATGTGTATGCACGCGTGTGCGTACGCGTATGATTATTGACACGAATATTTAAGTCTATTCTTGTTTTGCGTGAATAAAGATGATTCAAAAATCAACGTTCGACATCGTCTTCTTTCCCCCTCGTTCTTCAAACGATCCAACATCGCTTCGTTCTTATTAACATTACGATCTACTGGATCGTTCCCAATTAAATCTACTCGATAACTAACATTTCAAATTCGTTAGTAATTAACCCTGTTTCTTGCTTCGAATGTTGAGGGATTTGTTCGGGCTAAGCTATTCAAATGACTAAACACCATCAATTTTTGTATGATTAATTTAATTACAATCGATAGATTCACTTTACAATTGCAAAACAATACGTTTCTTGGTATTTTACACACGTACATATATATACACGATATACATACATATCGTGTACATATGCATACGTAGATGTAATTGTGCACCAACACGTGCGTGCACCAACTAAATAAATGTATTATTAAGTATACTATATTAAGTTTCTATAAAATACAATATTATAATCAAAATCATCGTACAAACACTGTAAATATACCTTACACGCTAAGAAACATCTTTCTTTTTATAATTTGTACTGTCGCGTAATTTTACGATCGCGGGCTGTTACAAGTATTCGACTTATTTAACTTTCGACGACATTTGGAGTATCGACGTGTTTCTTTTTTTCAACGCGTCATTCCCATTTTCTCTCATCCGTTTCTAATGTTTTCTTTTCGCTTCCTCAAATAACCAACCAAACGTATTCTCGCGTCTACTCGTCGATCGAACCCTGATATTTGTGCTTAACGGTAAAACGAAAGAAGAGAGCAACAAACACTCGCGCCAATGTAAATGGTAAAGTAATGGATCGACTTCGTCTTTGAACGCTTAAGCACTGTACTGTTTACGTATACGGTAACGGTAACTCGAGTTTATCTTATTTCTCTTACTGGGTATTATATAATATATAATATATATTATATACATTATACACATACGTATATATATACATACACAAATAAATACGTACATCCGTATATGCGGATGTATGCGAGCACGCGCGCGCAGCGCGTTAGTACACGCTGATACTGTGCGTGTGCACGTGCGCGTTCGCATACCCACGAACGCGTATACAAAATGTAAACGCATGTATATGCATACGAGAATGCGTACACGCTCTTCATGTACCTAAGCGATGTGTATGCACGCGTGTGCGTACGCGTATGATTATTGACACGAATATTTAAGTCTATTCTTGTTTTGCGTGAATAAAGATGATTCAAAAATCAACGTTCGACATCGTCTTCTTTCCCCCTCGTTCTTCAAACGATCCAACATCGCTTCGTTCTTATTAACATTACGATCTACTGGATCGTTCCCAATTAAATCTACTCGATAACTAACATTTCAAATTCGTTAGTAATTAACCCTGTTTCTTGCTTCGAATGTTGAGGGATTTGTTCGGGCTAAGCTATTCAAATGACTAAACACCATCAATTTTTGTATGATTAATTTAATTACAATCGATAGATTCACTTTACAATTGCAAAACAATACGTTTCTTGGTATTTTACACACGTACATATATATACACGATATACATACATATCGTGTACATATGCATACGTAGATGTAATTGTGCACCAACACGTGCGTGCACCAACTAAATAAATGTATTATTAAGTATACTATATTAAGTTTCTATAAAATACAATATTATAATCAAAATCATCGTACAAACACTGTAAATATACCTTACACGCTAAGAAACATCTTTCTTTTTATAATTTGTACTGTCGCGTAATTTTACGATCGCGGGCTGTTACAAGTATTCGACTTATTTAACTTTCGACGACATTTGGAGTATCGACGTGTTTCTTTTTTTCAACGCGTCATTCCCATTTTCTCTCATCCGTTTCTAATGTTTTCTTTTCGCTTCCTCAAATAACCAACCAAACGTATTCTCGCGTCTACTCGTCGATCGAACCCTGATATTTGTGCTTAACGGTAAAACGAAAGAAGAGAGCAACAAACACTCGCGCCAATGTAAATGGTAAAGTAATGGATCGACTTCGTCTTTGAACGCTTAAGCACTGTACTGTTTACGTATACGGTAACGGTAACTCGAGTTTATCTTATTTCTCTTACTGGGTATCGTGACGCGTTTCAAAATTCGCATATCGTGATCACGACGATATTCGTGTAACTCAAACAGATAATCGAAGGCACGTATCAACGGGAAAACGGTCGATTTTTTTCTTTTTCGTCTCTTCCACTTTCTCTCTTCTTTTCATACATGTACACACACGCACGCATATATACATTCGCACGATTCTTCTTTTTAATCAACGACAGAACTTCTTGTTTATACGTACGACGATATTAATCGCTAAATTTGAAAACTACACTTTCTTGTGTCCGACTCGAAACAGTCTAAGCGGGTTTTCCGTGAACGCGGAATCTATATAAACACGTGTATTCGAGTTGTCCATGATTACTGTGTATCCTTAATTCCACGTATTCGTAAGGCCCCTCGATCGTTGCATTCTAAGCGTAAAAAATGACAACAAAATTAAGACGGTTATTAACAAAATTAGGACGCTTTATTAAAGAGTTTCGTTTCACTCACTTGAACAGGAAAATATTGTAAATTATCGTCCGATGCTACGAATTCGTAATCGCCGAACATTACGGGTGCAGGATCGTTTTCATCGATGAAACCCTATACGGAAACATCAATGAATCATCGAGCGTAAATTAAACGGAAGAAAAATCGGTCTGCTTACCCAAACGTTAAACTTCTTAGGAGCGCTTCTCATTTCTCCGTTAGGTAAGATTGATTTTGCCGCGTGTTCGAGCGTGAAACCAGACACGAAAATAGAACTGCGTAACTTGATTAACAAATATCCTGGAAAACCTTGGAACGCCCAACAAATACCTGGTTGGATCGGATTTCCTTGTATCACCGTACGAGGATTGTTATTTTCGTGATAAAGCGTGAAAGCCAATAATTTAAAAGCTCTCGTCTTTATATCGTACTTCTGTGTGCAACGCGTGCTAATTATCTGACCTCCTGCACACGACGTATCAATGGATTATCATCGAGAAACGCGACAAATTATTCTTCGTATAACCGATTTCCACTTACCGGCAGACTCTAAAGCGTAATCGACGCGTCCCGTTTTATCCGCGTCGTATATTCTTAAAGCCTCTTTCACTATTTCGCGTACACGGTCATCCGACTCAAAGTTGCTGCTAACCACCGTTGATTTCTCTCCAACTGTAAAAGAAAAGTTTTCGGAATGCTATACTTCTCTTTCTTGTTCTTTCGACATCTACGCGTAACCTTTGAAAACGAAACTATGCTTCTTTCAATCACCTTTCTTTTCTTCCGCCACTATTGTATCCCGAAAATCTTTATTAACCATGTAATTGGCTAATATCGTTTCGACGCGTTTCTCCAAATCTTCTTTGGTAATGTAATTTCTATTGCAACACGGCTCTAACTTCGAATAAAGTTCCTTCAATGTTTCGAATTGTAATTTTATCTCCTCCACTGTCTTTTGAGTGTACGTATTCAATTCGGCCGTGTCTCGATTATGTTCCTCTAATTTTTTTTCCAACGATAATATTTCACTCTAAAAGAAAACGATTATCTCGATGTCGTACTTTAATAAAATTATTACCAACAATTCATTTCGACTTACGCCGTATCTCGACCAAACGTATTCGCTTTCCTTTAATTGTTCGAGCGCCCGGTTTATGTTTACGAGACGATCCTGTGTACAAATTTAACTCGTACAATTACCGCATAAAATTTGGCAAAACGATCGAACAGTATTTGATGTTATCTTTATTCGAAAAAAAATCCACGTTAATTCTTACAGGCTGTTCAACGGTTGAATCCTCCGCGTCACTGATTTTACTGTTCAACTTTACGCCTAACGATCCTGCGTGGTCTTCTTTACCAAAAGCTTCTTCTCCCTTCAGATAGGATCGTTTACTAATAGTTGCAAACAGCTCGGACGTTTCCCTCAGCTGTTGCGTAATAACTTTGGTTGAAAGGAACACCGTTGAAAGATATGGTAAGCACCAACAACCTGAAACGTAAACGTGTAACGCTCTTTAATCTTTACCGATTTTGCGATTTGACATAATTACCGAGAGAAGGATAGACGAAGGGACTCACCGTTCCGATGACATCAAGATATAGATAGATCATGTCCATATTCCCCGCGAAGCGCAAACACTCCAATTTTATATCGCCAGTCAAGGAATCCTACTCCCTCTATCCTTCTCCCATCTTTTCATTCATTTCATTTAATCGTTTACGCGACTATGTCGATTCCATCAAATTTAGTTTTTTACTTGTACACACGGTATTATGACGTTATGATGCAAGACTGATAGTAGCGTTTTCACGGGTGCATGAACGTGTTTTTACGAATGTCATAGCATACAGTGAGCTTACAGATATTATTGTTACCCGTAACCCGATTCGATCCATTAGTAATTGCGATAAAAAGAAAATTAAGAGATATCGAAACAACGTAAAACATCGTGCATGCGATACACGTAAGTGTATGTGTTGAAAATGTAACGCGACGATACCCCAGAGCATCGTTAACAATACACGACTGAATATAAGAGATACGAGAAATGTCAACGACACGGTAATCGCAATGGCAACGTACCGCGGTAATAAGCTCCTTTATCTTTATGAGTGTATCGTTAGTAAATTTAATAAATAAGTAAATATTTGCAAGTGTTAAGTGATTATAAAATATACGCGAAGGAAATAAATGAATGTTAGCAAACAAAAAAATTTTCATGAAAGAATAAAGAATATATCAGACCCGATCACCAAAGCAAAATTCTGTTCAATGCTAAGACGTCTCGGATAAAGACACGTTCATACTCGGATCAAAATACGTTGATAAATTTTTAACTGCTTTTATGTATTCAATAATTAAATCGCTTTGGAAAGATGTTAAATTGACAATATCGTTAAAGATGCGATAGCTCGTCTCAGTGACGTCGTAGGGAATATTATGCAGAGAATCCAGACGAATAAAGGATTGTTTTTGCACGATGTAAGCTCCTGAAACAAAAAGAAAAACAAACGCCAGGCTAGGTTTACCGATTTTCCCGAAGATACCAGGACTATAAACTCTGCTCCATCTTGTAGGCGAACACGATAGATTAATAGTTATCGATAGGAAGGTAATGACCCTTTAATTAGTGATTTTTTTTACAGCGATTTATAACATTATTAAAATTTACCAGTCAAAAGAAGTAACGGTAGTAGGGCGATCCAAAAGATCTTTGGGCTTCTTTGGTGTATCCATCTTCTAACGCTAGAAACTCGACTCAATAACCACGAATCAAAGAAGAATACTTTAACCAGAAACAGATAAACGTACTGTAAGCAACGATCGATTAATTGCCAGATTTTGTACCACTTTGATTCTGAAAGTGAAATTTTCCATTATACCACATTGAATACGTTTAATTACAAAAATATCGTTTATCTACTATTACCGTGTCTCTGATATTCATAAGTAGCACGATATTCTCTTCTTTTAACTGCTTTGAGTTTTAAAAATTCGAGCAGTTTATTAAACCATAAGACAATGATTGAAATAAAATTCGTCAAGTATCGCGTTACTTTTTTCTCTCTGTCACGATAACTTGTAACTGCTTCATCCAATTCTGTGTCGGAATCGGCACATCGCGTAACGTCGTATTTCTGGGAATGGATACTTCTCGATTGCGAGGCAGAACCTAACGATTGTCTAAAGAAAAAACGAAATGTTACTCAAGGGTATGGTTTCCTTTAGATTTTAGACGTTATGCGTATACGAAAAATTCAATAAATTACGAACCTTATTTGCGAATTGATCGTATTTTTCGGTACCGCGTACACTGCTTCTCTATGACTACGATATTGTTCCACGTGTCTCTTTGTATATTGAATCTTAGATTTTGCTTCGGAATTCGAAGTACGAGAACTATCCACAGTATCAAGTGACTATATTAAGTCGGAACAATGCAAATTCATTACTTATCGTCGTTTTAAACAATCGTAAACATTTTATCCACTTATTATACACTTACCGTACAAATGTTTGTATTTATTTCATTTTCCTTTCCGACACTCGTTTCCGATTTTCTCTCTTTTCCGAATGAATCATATGTTCCACTCGTATCCGAATGAATAGAGCGTCGTGACATGTTGGGCATTGCTAAAATGCCGGGCGCTATTTCGTAACGACACTGCGATTGTTCGGAATAAGTATAGTCCGTTTTAGGGAATACGCTAAAACATTATCCGTTGGTTTTATAATATGAACGATATTACGCATAATTGAAACTAAAATTTAATATTACAAATACACACTTCCACCAATCGCCAGCTTGCTTATAAATTTCATGCGCAGAATTTGGTCTGTTGGATAAATCTTCTCGTTCTCCTTCCTCTGAAGAATAATCGCTGGTTATAATTCTACGGGGAGAAGTACTTTTACGACTTTTTTCGCTTTTCCTCCCAAACGAATCTTCTTTATTGTCAGTTTGACCATTCGTAAACGTTTGTCTTTTTGCCTTTTGCCGTTCAGATCGACGCTCCACCCTTTTCGTACCGACCCAGGTATTTTCAAGTTTCTTGCTTTCACCTTCTGACGAAGCATCAACCACAACTTCCCTCTTACTTTCTGCTATCGTTTCCATACTCTGATCGTTTGTCTTACTACTACTGCCAAGTCTGAAACAATATTAAAAATTCTAGATTCAAGCACCGTGTGTTTTAGTTTTCTGAAACACATTTCCAAACAATGATCGATACTTTTATACTTACGACATTCTAGAAACAGATCTTCTGTTATTTGTAACTTCCCCAGGAGTATGAGATCTCTCTTTACTGTGACTTCTCAAATCATAATGATGTTCTAACGTCTCCGGTTCAATTAAGGCACGATTTTGTATCAACGGAGTTTGAGAACGCGATCTACTTCCACTTCGTAGTCCATAATGTCGCTGTTCATTCTCCATGGTCCTATTTCAGAAAGAAACAAAAAAAGAGAAACACATAAATAAGAATTAAAAAAGAAAACTGAGAAAAAATATATAACCAATAGATCATCACAGCTTTTTGGTATCTTGGAAACTATAGTCTGTTTTCGTATGCCTAACTTAAGCTAAAAATAGTTACTCTCCTGCTGAAGGATACCCAGACAAAATCCTTCTGTGACGATTTCTATTTCGGGCATACTTTTCCCTCTGCCTCTTTTGCTCTCATTAATTTCAATTTTTTTCTAGAGACCGTTCGTAGCACGAGTAAGTTTAACATACCGCACAGGGCGATATTAAATACATACGCGAGAAACAACTGTCCTTTTTCTTCTTACGTCTTACTTTATGAAGCAAAAACAACGCGTATGCATGAAACGCATATATAGATGACCTGGTCTCGTTTGTATCCTAAGATATTCGTCAAGTATATATAGATTCACTGTACGCAAAGAATTTATCTCATGGTATAATCATTATTTGATTTGTAGTAATTTCAAACAATTACACTTTATGGTTGTATAAGCACGTAGATCATAAATACACTACACACGTAAGTATACATTATGTGGTATCACGATTTAATTTCGTCACTTGTTTTCACGAAACCTTCTATTTATAGAAAACTCACCGAAAATATACGAAATAAACTGCTGATACTTCTTTAAACGATACGATATGTTATGCATTCAACAAAATAGGAAAACATTCGCTTCGCGGTATAATTTGTACAACGACTGTCATCGTTGATTTAAAACGTTTGACATCATCCACGCGATTCTTTAAGAACACTTAAACGCACTTCAATAAGAGCACGGGGCACGGCAGCACGCAACGCGTAAAAAACGAACAGCCGTACCTAGATGCGTGCGCATCTCGCGATGATTCATTTTATGTAGCTTCCACTCCCACTACTTGGACATTCCGCAAAAGGCTACCAAAAAGAATCAAACCAATATTACATATTCCCTGCTCGTTAAAGATAAATCGATAATACAGATAACTTTACCGATAGTTGTTAAAACGTTATTTTTTCGTTACAAGATAAGCGTTTTATATTCATATATAATTTCAAGATATTCACTTCGTGAAAACGAAAGCGGTTTGCAACGTGTTATCTTATGCATACGTATTTTTCGATATGTATATAAGATTTACAGTTTTATAAGTACTGATCAATGTAAAAAGAAAGCGGATAATTTTTGTACTTTTAAGCAATACGATAAGCGAAAAATAAAATAAATCACTCACGCAATACATTTTTGCGTTACACGATTCAGGGGGGAGGAGCTCATATCCCGTTATATCGATTGAGACTGACATGTACCACAGCGCAACGCTAATAATGAGAAGAATTAAACTCAAAAGGACCAATATTGTGTTCATTTTAACGCCTTCCGTTTGAGATAATTTTTTAAAGTCTATCGTGTCGTATTGCCATAATAATTGAGTGCATTTAAAAAGCATACTTTTAAAATGAGAGCCTTCGGAATAACTGGTTGCTACGCGAGCGTGGACAGTTAGAATTTAAGTCAAGACACTATCGTCTTTAACATGATTAGTTAGATTATTTAAATAAGTACCTTTTCTCAGTTACACTATGCTTGCTTACAATTAATTAAATGTGTTTCACAGCAGTATAACAGAAAAGATCACGTAGCGCCATCCATGAGTAAAAATGTTCAATAAATTTATCAGATAGTAAATGTTTCTTTACCGACAAATCTATCTCATTTACCTATTAGATAACAGAACACAATTTATCGAGAGATATTATTCGTATTTGAACTGAAACAAATATTCGTTGAAGTCGATAGTAAAATTGAATAGTAATTTATATTTATTTATCTTATATATGTACATATTTGATACATAAACGCGTAATACATATTACAGATGTTTATGGCCGTAGCCATCTATCGATCCTCGTAAGCATTCTCGTTCGATCGTAACGCATTGGAACAATTTCAGACGTGACTCGAGCTTTTCGAAAACAATATAGACAACGTAAGGTGAAACGTAAACTGTAATGACTACAGTGCGATAAAGAACGTAAAGAGAAAAAACAAAAAGGAGAAAATACGAGTCGATATAGTGATTCGTGTGTTACATGATTATCCGTGGACGGTGAAAAATGCTCTGAACGGTTAACCATAACCGTCGATTATACGGTTACACAGTTGTACAGTTGTACGGTTATACAATTATACTGTTTAGAGGTGTGACTGTTGACTATTGCAGTGATAATCAAAGGACGAGCAACAAGGGATACGGTTGGTTGCAGCCTGGAGGGAGCAAGAGACCGAGTGACCGTGGACTGCAGGCTGTGGGCTGCGGGTAGCAGGCACGGGCCAGTCAGTCCACCAAACAAAACATGGACGCCGTAGAAATAAATACATCGGATTCACCGCAAAACGAAGAAGGCATCGTGTCGACGGTAGAAATATGCCGTGTTTGCCTTCTTGGTAATCTAGTAATGCGAGACTTGTTTCTGGAAAACGAGGTTGCTTCTCTTTCGGCAAAAGCGATGAGTTTCGCTAACGTTAAGGTTAGACACGTAATTTAGAGGTTAATTTTTCTACTGGAAATTGTGAAATAAAGCCGCGCGCGTTTGACACCATACGACGTGACGCACGTGACGTCGTATATACTTTTAACAATAACTAACTTTGCTTCATAATAATAATATATTTACTGTCGTAAACTTGTTTTCATGGATTTAACAACTTTCGATAGGTATACAATAATGACGTTATCGGTTGAACATAGACATCATTCGTTTGTTTTAGATGTTACCCGGAGATGGTTTACCAGCTCGCGTATGCTGCGTGTGCGCGGACAAACTGGAATCCGCATACGAATTTAAATTACAAGTGGAACAAGCGGATACCGTGCTCAGAGAAAGATTTGTCACTATGAATATAAAGGAAGAGCTGTTCTTCGATGAAGTCGAAGTACACTTGGATACCAGAGAACGAAACGAGGGTATAGAAGGAATGCGTATAGAGAATCATTATCGGGATACTACGGAAACTTTACCACCAATGTCTCAGGAAGAGAAATCGTCTCTACTGAAGGATCAGCTGGATCTGTTACAAATGGAAAAACTAACCGAAAATGAAGAGGGTATTAGAGGTAACTAAAGATCCAATTAAGAAATGAAACAAATCGCGTTTATGACGTTAAAAAGCCCATTTATGTTTCCTAGAGCAGAACAATGGCCAAGTAATGGAAGAAGTGATTGATCAAGCGATTAGCACGGAACAGACATCGGAGGATCGTCTAAACCAGGAAGAAGAGACCGTTAAAACTGTCGCGGATACCTCGAAAGACGACGAATCATTGAAACATGAAAGCAGGGAGGACGATTGCATCGGAAGGATTGCGCCGATGGAACACGATTATATATTGCAACAGGAGTGTATATTGTCCGACGACGGTCAGCGAGAACATCAAGAAGAAGAAGAACAACCTCAAGAACAGCAGCAGCTTAACGATTCCGAAGAATCGTTTCCGCGAGAAGATTGCGCGGAATATGTAAATTTATTGGTAAAGGCGGCCGATGTAACGAATCAGGAAGACGAAGACGAGGACGAGGATGAACCCGGAGGTGCGGACGATATGAAACCGGATGTAAAAATGGAAGAAGGGTCTCCGTGTCAGAACGAAGCTAGGAGAAGTAAACGTAAGCTGGTCCGTCGAAACCAAAGTATAGACACGAAACGAGACTCCGACGAAGAAAATTATTTCGAAAATCTAAATTTAAGTTCGAGATTAAAAAATGTCGAAGATTCCGATAAATCCGATAAGATATTTTTCCTATGTTACCTGTGCGACAAAGAGTTTTTGTCAAAGAGCGTTTTGAAGGAGCATATGCACACTCACGAGGAAGTTAGAAAAGCATTGTCCCTAAAAAAGACGTTAGAGACATTAGAAACGTTAGAAACGCCGCAAAAAAATGTTAGTAATCCCGTGAAATCGCCGCCGTCGGGTAAAAGATCGAATAAATGCCCTTACTGTGGCAAACAGTACATCTATATAATTTCGTTTAGTAAGCACTTGAAGAAACACGAACGGGAGAAGGAAGAGGGAAAGGAAGAGCCGATGCCGTTAGAAATTTCGTTTCACGAGGACGAGCATAGTTTGGATCTTGACGATTACGAGGAGGCGCAGCGTTCGAATGCCGAGTTTCGAAGAAGAGCCAAAGGAAAAGACGGTTTCGACAGAACGAAGACGAAGAAACCGGTAGAAGAAGGCGAGTTCGAGGACGAGGACGAGGAACAAGGGCAGGAGGAGAATGAAGAGGAAGAAAGGGGGAAGGAAGAGAATAGGGGTGATCAAGGAGACGACGGTTGGAACAGAGAAGAGAAAGAAGGAAGTCAGGGTGCGCGCACGGAAACGTTCGCCTGCGATAAATGCTCGCAGAAATTCTATACCAAGCGCGGTTTACGGAAACACTCGGTTTCGCACGTTGTTCTTAAATGTAGCGTTTGCGAAGAAGAATTCGATTCGATGGAAAAGCTTAGAAACCATCGTGCAAAGCACGTGGTCGAAGGCGTATTGAGCGAACAAGATTTCGAAGCGGATACGGAGTACACGATCGACGATAGAACCGACGATCGCGGAACAGACGGGAAAGGAAACGATGGAAAGGCCCAAAATGGAGAGGATGGGGGCGAAGTGGAACGATTTGAAACGGATAACAGATCGGGGAAGAGCGACAGGTACGTATCAGGAATAAAAAATTTTCGTGCGCTTCGCGTGCTCGAACAGCTCGTTTTTGAACACGCTGGTTTGACAAAGTATCGTTCTGTTTAGAAATACGGAGACGCACTCAGGGATCGAGTACAATTGCAAGACGTGTTGTCAGCGGTTTCCGAGGAAAGATTCGTTGCTGAAGCACATGGAACAGCATCACGAACGCGCGAAAACTTACAAGTGTACACAATGTAATAAAACGTTCGGCAACGAACTTACTTTACGAAATCATCTTATAGCCACCGATCATAAAACTTTCGTTCACGGGCAAGAATACGATCCTAATAAACGCATTAAACGAGTCGCCGCGAGAGCGGCTCAGAAGATAATCGATCAGATTAAAACGGAGGACGGTTTTTTAGAGGATTACGACGACGATGACGACGAGGACGATCAGAGCAACGTCAGGCTCGATCGCGTCGGTTCAGGGTTAGACGGTCGCGGTAAACGAGACACGTCCATGCAAAAGAAACACAATTACAAGAAGGAGCTGGAATGCGTGAGTTGCAATAAAAAATGCTGTTCGAAGCAGTCGTTGGCAAAACACATGGAACAGCACGTGAAAGACGAACGAACCGTGAAATTGGAAAAGCAGAAACAACCGGCGGAGAAAAAGGGACAACGGAACTGTACCGGCGAACGCGTCGATAACGGGGAGAACAAAGATGACGATTACGACTCGGATTTCGAGAGTGGGTTAGACTGGCCGATGGACAATCACGAGTGTGCCAAGTGTAAGAAACGGTACAGTACGAAAAAATCATTGTTGCGACATCAGTTATTGCACGAGGAGCCGAACTTCGAATGCGACATCTGTAACGTGAAATTCTACCGTAAAGACAAATTGAAGGCTCATTACGACAAGTGTTCGGAGAAGAATCCTGATCAAGTGAGAAAGTGCAACATCTGCGGAGATAGTTTCGAAAACAACGAAATCCTACGGGAGCACAGATCGAAACACGTTACCGAGGGTATCCTTACGGAGGAAGATTTGAGGGATACAGAACCGCGGCCGGAAGAGAAAAAACCGGGCGAGAAAATCGGTCGGAAGAGAAGAACCGACATCGTCGGTTTAGAATGCACCGAATGCAACAAACGATACACCTCGAGGAAAGGACTATTACGACATATTCAAGTACACGAGGGAAAGAAATACCTGTGCGATATATGTCCGAAAAAGTTTTACAGGAGAGAACATTTGAAGATACACGTGGCTAAGCATAATATGATAAAACCGTACAAGTGTACTCGTTGCACCAAGCGTTTCATTAAAGAGGAGCAATTGACCAATCATCTGTCGAAGCATGATCGTACTTTCAAGAAGAATAAAGAGACGGATAGTTCGAAGAGGTTCCTTTGCGAGATCTGTTCGAAAAGTTTCACCCAATCGACCACGTTAATCGCTCATCTTCGAGCGCACAACGGGATCAAACCGTACGTTTGCGAAGTTTGTTCGCGACCGTTTACAACGAACGCGTACCTAAAAATGCATATGAGAACGCATACGCAAGAACGGCCGTATATCTGTCAGTACTGTTCACGAGCATTCGCCAGGGCCGACACGCTCGCCAATCATTTGACTTCGCACACGGGCGAAGCGAAGTATCATTGCAAATATTGTCCGAAAAATTTCCGCCGTCTCAAGTCCCTGAAAGAGCACGTATTCATTCACACCGGTCAGAGGCCTTACGCTTGTCCAACCTGTGATCGACGGTTCAACAACAACGGAAGTCGTTACGCTCACAGTAAAAGGTGTAAACAAAATTTCGTTCAAAATCAGACTCAAAACCAAAACCAGAATCAGAATCGTGGTCAGATATTGGCCACGCAAGCGCAATCGATACAAACTCAACAGAAAGTGTTACACCAGGCTACTCTTGGACAATGTCAAGTAGTGAAGGCACAGAATATCAAAACGATCACTATTACCAGACAATCTGAACCGGTTACTGCTCAACAGGTTATGCAACATCAGGAAATACTGATGCCTTTGATTCTTCCGCTTACCGTCACTCTCGCCGACGTTGGCGAAGAAGTTATATTACCAGAGGGAAGTAAAATATTTACTACCACTTAAATCGACCTCGTTCTTTTGCCGCGTTCCTTCACTTTTCTCTTGAAATTCGCTTTACTCGTTTGCTATCGTCCTCGATACTTTCACCCTCTTTTCATTGACTCGTTACCGAAAAATTAACATTTAACCATGGTAATTACGAAGGTGGAGCGAAAGTGGCAGCAAATCGTGTTGAAAAAAAGTAACCGAAACGATAGGGCGTTTGATTTTGTATTATATACGTTGTATGTATATCTTTCTATGTGCTATGTTTAGGTACAAGATGAAGTTATGGAGTAGAAAATGTACGGGAATTGGATTAATTATGTAGCAAATGTTTAAAATGAATCTACGGGTTGTTCGTTCGTCTCGAACGCGAAGCGTAAACGTCGTTTGTTAAAGTGTTAAATATCGTTCCGTGAACGAAGAGCGGAAGAAGCACGTTCGGTTCGAGAACTCGGCATATGAAAGCAAGGGATATTAAAGAGGGAGAGAGAGAAAAAAAACAATGTTGCTCAGAATATACGAAAAATACGAAATAAGAAACGTGGGAAGACCAATTACCAAATTTTACCGATTTTAATCGGTATCGTGGACGACCTCGACGTTGACTTCGATTTCGAACCATCTCGTTTCACCGGTTCCCTACAGTTTTTTCTTGTTTTTGATATTAAAAATGTGATTGGACTCGACGGAAGTACGTATGTATATAATGTATGTACGTAAACGTGTACACGCATTTTCGTATATTTGAACAAAAAAAAGAGAAAAGAAAAAAAAATTACGAAGATTGTACAGGATTTTTATATGATCCTTTTCGTTGCCGTTTCTCATTTGGAACACGGAAGGTTTGTTAAATCTTGAAGAATCGTTTTGATGTTATCGAATCTAGTATATTCGTTAAAGATTACTTTCTATTCGCTTTAAAAATCTTGTTCATCGATATCGCTAAAAAATAAGTAATAATTTGACAACGATAAAGATTGGCTAAGAAATCGTTGGGATTTATTTCGAACCGAAAAAGATAGAAGCTTATCCGCGAACCGTTGTTGCTTTTAAACTGTACGTTGAATAGACTATTATAATTTTTATCGTGACACGTGACTGTGGTGTACATACAGATTGTTTTTAAGCGTACAAGAACCGTTATCCAAAGATTGTATTATAAATTGTATGAAAAGTACAACGTAATTTTTTTACAAAACATATATGCCTTTCAATCGTTAAATTGTAACAAAAAGGATATATCAAATTATATAGAAATTATATCGCGTTAACGGTAGCGCTGGAAATAAATGCATTCTTTCTTGTGCGATATGGCATCGATATGCACGGATAAGAGCGCATACATTTCTACGATCCGTTAGGTTCACGCATTTATTCGATCGATTCGTTTCAGTTTTAAGGAATTCTGCGGAACATTCTGCGGTTCTTGTTGTTTCGTGTACGCGTGCACATTTAATAACTACACTTTAATATTTGTAAAGCGTAAGGAAGGAATTACGAAAATCTTGAAGAAAAAACCGGTCATATGCTGCATCATGTTACAACATGTCGGTAAATGACAATTTCGATCTATACAAATCATGATTTATGATTTATTTGTACATAGACGTAAGTACTGTGAATAAAACGTTCGTAGTATCGAAACAAATAAATTACTTTCTTTTATTTAATTTTACTTTTCAATCATTTATTCAATCAACGTCGCTGTTACAATGTTTATAATTTCACTAATTATTACAAGTAAAAAATTTTTCAATGAACATTCAATTTCGTTGCGTACAAAAGAATCGTTATCGAACGAGTGAATTGTTAAAGTTACGATTGAAAATGTAATAATTGAAGAAACATTTTCATGCTGTTGCATTATCGAATATTGTCAATACATTACGGAATATTCAATTGTCTATTACCCATAGAACGTTTATACCCGATGTTCCTAAACTAACGCGACCTAACATACCACTATCTCTCGTCTTAACGATATACAGAAACAACAGAAGAGTATGAAATAAGTTGTTTCTACCCTAAAAATAAGAAGCAAAAAAATAATTTTAATGTTTTAATATAACAATTGAATGAACAAGTAACAACGGTCAGAAAGATTTTCTTTGATTTACTCACACGTTGCATTTCTTCGTAATCGCTTGGCGACGAATCTCCAGAATGCGCTAAACTATAATGCGGTGGATTTATAGATTGACACACTATTATGGGTCCTTTACTACGCGGTAACGTCACCCCGGCTTTGGCCATATATCTCGACGTAAACGGTCGCGCATCTGGTTGGTCTAGAGGGGCCTCGAGTTGCGTATCCATGTACGTTGATACTAAATGCATAATTATCTATGGAAACAACGAACGTGTACATCGAATCAACTTTTCTTTTTCGTTCCGGTAATATTTTGCGAGAAATTAAATAAGTATTCAATACCGCTGAATCGGTCGGTAAACTAGAATCCCATTCTTTTCCATTGTACGATCCTCCACCGTTCCATTTGAATTCACTCATGGAACCGCCTTTCGCAAGAGTTTTTATTCTTTTTACGAGATACTCCTGATTATTGGAAAGTTCCAAGAAAGGCACCAAAGTTGGTAAAGTTGGGATAGCGGAGATCAGAAACGGTGCTTGGGCAAGTTTCCGTAGTCTATCCAATTCAACGCAGCCTGGTTGAGAATCACTCAATCCGTGACGAACAAGCGCCACGCAAACGTTATCAATTTCGGTAGCTACTCGTTCGACGACCGTTTTACTGATCCACTGAAATTGTTACAATCTATCGTTAAAACTAATATCACGGCACAGCACCGTTCGATTATGATTCGTTTGTTTTACTTGCCATACGAAGATTGGCCGTCCACTCGTTCACTTTGCTTGAATCGATTCTGTACTTTCTCCAAACGTCCGAAGTACCGAACATACCCCTAGGTGAATTTCCTTCTTCGGTACCAGGACTGGTTGATTTTGATTTGTCTATGAGAAATGTAGATACAGATACTGTAGTGTAGCTGCAATTTTTATTTGTATATAAAAAACAGTTACAGTCTCGAAACTCGACTTACCAATGATAGGCGCTAATTGATACGCGCATCTTCTTAACAAAGGAGAAACTTCCCCAGGGCTTCTGACTGCTGGATGTGACCAGAATGAGCTAAGTAAGTTGGAGGGCTGATCAATATCTGTTGCCAAAACATGTTTCCTTTGATGAGTTTCTTCTAAATAATTTTGTAATTCTCTTTCACTCTGAATCAAATCCTCTCCAGTCAGATTTCCATTTGTCGAAATATTGAAAGATTTGTTGAACGATCCATTAGGACTAGGTGCAGACTTTTGTGATGTTGGACTGCCGTATTTGAAGAATTGACTAGACGATGAAAAGTCCTCTTAAAACATACATTTACATAGAATATATGTACTTCTTTCTGCTATGTAAAAATATGAAAAAAGAATTGATCATACTAGATTCACTTAATCCGGAAGAGCCCAAAGAAGTCATACGTCTATTTAAACTTATGCATGATAAATTTAAAGGAGATGCTGATTCAGATATTTTTTGGGGTGACAAAAGTTCATTCTTAAAAAGCGGATCATCCTCTGATACACCTAACAGACGTCTTTGTTTGGGACTTAATGAAATTGGTCGTACTGTAATACTTGCCCATGTATATTGCATTATATGGTAAAAAGCATTTAATGCAAATATTGAAGCTAAACACCATTCAGCCCAACAAAATGGTTTATATGCTGCACCTCCATATAATCTAAAAGATAACGCAAAAAATATATACATTTTCTTGAATATTTATTAAATCAACAGATAGTTAATAGAGAAATAACAAGTTCTTACATGTCAAAAATTAGAATTCCTAGTAAAGAACTATTAACGAAGAACCACGTGATGCTGTTTCTCGCTTTATTTTGTGCCTGTTTTATGTCTAGTGTTTGTTCCACTTGAGGTTTTGCAGCCAAAACTCTATAATTACAATTAGTTAACGATCATAATAAATGTTTAGTTTTCTAACCTTATTTTAATTCATTCCACTTTCATAAATTTAGCATATTACCTTGCATTAGGAGAAATACATCGCATCGGAGACCGAAAATGACTCATTTTTATTATTTTATCATACCAGTTATATCAGAAAAATCTTGTCATGCTTGAAACGGTATTTCAAATGTACAGTGGAACACTGGAAAACACCTGGGAAGAATCTGATGCGCCGTTGGTCATTTGTTGCTTTCGGCGGGAATGGATATCTAATACGTTAGTCGTTTACGTAATAATTACCATTATTGTTATTAGTAGTAACAATAAAAATACAATATTTCAGATGATTCATTTATTTAAACAATTTTTATTCAATGTACCAAAATATATAAAAATATATTTTCATAAAAGTATGTTCATACATTCATCTACGCATACGCACGTACGTATATACACAAACATGACATATCTCGCATCAAAATTTATACATTTATATATTCATCTGATTAAAGCGTTGTATACATATAGGGGATAAAAATACATAACAATATAAATTAGGTTGTAGTCTTTAAATTTTGAGAACTAGGTTCAGCTATTGTTACGAGAATCTTATTTTTGCTTACAGTATCACCTACTGAACATGATACATTCTCAACAATTCCATCGATGGAGGCTCTGATAATATGCTACAAATAAAACATTAAGTTTAAAATCAAGATATAGACTAAAAACTGATAGATACATACTTCCATCTTCATAGCGTTAATGACTAGCAAAGCGTCGCCCATCTTTATAACGTCTCCTTTCGCGACAAATAGTTTCTGTATAAAACCAGGCATTGGACTCACAGCTTTGTGTGGATCCTCTGTAGATTCATTACTCGAAAGACGAGAAAGAAATTTCATGGGAAGTGTACTGAATTGCCATTCTCGATCCTATAAAAACAATCGATATAAGTTGTTTCTTAAGCGATATCATTTAATCATTAAATTGATTAAATTAAAAATAAAAGCAAAAAAATTTAGTTAAAAGATATACTAGCTTTTGTGAACAAGTATAATTTGTTGCGGATTTTAATTATTTTTGATTTGATGGTCATTTCATCGATTTCGGTATGTAATTCTAACGAATTTTCTTTTTTCTTTAGAACACCGGTTACTGTTCTCCAACGCCCAATTTTATTAATTCTCATAGAGTAAACTTCAGGTTCAACGTATTTTACTTCAACGTCAATGTCCTCGCCATAAACTTTAAAGTTAAATGTACGATATTGACTGTGATTTAGCCTCAATCCGGTTTCTGTTGCAAAGGGACTAAACGGGTCAACACTCGTAACAGACGATCGCAAAGAATTTGTATCTTCGTAAAGTATCCATGCAAGCGCAGCCTGTGCCGCAACTTCACTTGGTACATGTAATTTGGGAAATAATTCTTGATAATGTTCTTTTATAAATCCAGTATGTACATGACCAAGACAAAAACTAGGATTAGAACATAAGTCCTTGAGAAACTCTATATTGGTATCGAGTCCGGCTATCTGAAAATACGAATAACACAATTTAATGACATACAATCATCTTATTGAACAGACGAATTTTGCGAATCTATATACATTATAGTCGTTTAGATTCGATCTGAGCATAGCCAGTGCTTCTTCCCGATCCTTTCCCCAAACAATCAGTTTTGCAATCATCGGATCATAGTGTATGGATACTTCATCTTTTTCGCGAACTCCGCGTTCAATTCTGACCGTTCTTGTCGTAGCCTCTGGAATCCTCATATACGTTAAGTTTCCAGCTCCTGGTAGAAAATCTTTCCTTGGATTCTATGATTTATTATAATAACTAATAAATTCAGAAATTATGTTGAATAGACAAATATTTATATACCTCCGCGTAAATTCTAGCTTCAAAAGCATGTCCCTGAAGATTAATTTCTGTCTGACATAATGGAAGTTCTTTTCCCGCCGCTACACTCAATTGCCATTCAACCAAATCCAATCCTGTAATTGCTTCAGTGATAGGATGTTCTACTTGAAGACGAGTATTCATTTCCATGAAATGAAAACTATTTCGTTGACGATCCATTATAAATTCCACGGTACCAGCACCAACGTAACCTACTGCTTTTGCTGCTCGAACTGCTGTTTCGCCTAAATCGGTCCTTAAATCTGCTGAAATACCGGGCTACGGTATATCAGGATAATTGTAGATTTACGATATGTTTTCGAATTAAATCATTGGACAGTACGTATTTCGAACGATTAAACGTACGTACTGCTGGTGCTTCCTCGATAATCTTTTGATGTCTCCGCTGAACGGAACAATCCCTTTCAAACATATGAACAACATTTCCGTGTTTATCTGCAAAAACTTGTACTTCGATGTGCCTTGGTTCGCTGATATATTGTTCGAGTAACACCGTCGAGTCTCCAAATGCTTTATCGGATTCGGTTCTCGCGCCTTCTAACGCTTCAGAAAAATCTGATTCTTCTAAAACAATTCTCATTCCTTTTCCTCCTCCACCGCGTACAGCCTTAATCATAAGCGGAAAACCTATTTTTCTCGCTTCTAGTAACAAAACTTCATCGGACTGATTATCTCCATGATATCCTGTTTTCACAAATACCCCAAAATTAAATTTTATCAACATTTTCGTGCCTGCAGATGCATTCTTCTACACATATGTGTTCCAACAAAGAAAATCATACCTGCTATAACAGGAACTCCAGCTTCAAGCATTATCATTTTTGAAGTGCTTTTAATACCCATATTTTTAATTGCACTTGCCGGAGGGCCAATAAATGTTAAATTCTCTTTTTCACAGAGCTCTGCAAATTCAGCATTTTCTGAAAGGAATCCATAACCAGGGTGTATTGCCTGGCATTTTGACTTTTTCGCTATAGATAAAATTTTATCCTGCCTCAAATAACTTTGATTGGAAGGTGCTGGACCGACACAATATGCTTCATCTACTTGTTCTACATGCATAGAATTTTTGTCTGCTTCGCTATATATGCCTACAGTCTTTATTCCTAACTTTTTGGCAGTTTTTACAATGCGACATACTATCTCTCCTCTGTTAGCGATCAAAATCTATAATGTAACACAATACATTATATGCTATAACTATAGTATATTATGAACTATAAATAAAAGATTTAAGCTTACCTTATTGAATCTATTAGACAAAGTTTCTGAGGTGTGCAAGTTGTGTATGCACAATATTATTGTGCGGCATCTAAAAATTGACACAAATTTAAACAAATGTATACGTATACATAATGACTTAGACCTTGTATAAGAAAACATATTTAACAAAACTTCTTTGCAATTTACTTACTGTAAAATTGATGCTTTTGTGCTTGTTATTCGATACATGTTAATATTATGTTAGAACAACTTGTACTGAATCCGCCTCATGCCTCCTTTTTACTCATTCCAATCGTGAGCAGGGGAACAAATACACGCAATGTAAATATATAATCGCTAACCTTTATCAAAGGTTATGTGGACGCGTACATACATTATATTTACATTATTAACCAACTGATAAGCAATTGCGTAAGTGTATGTGACTGCTTTAAGTTTCTCAAGTAAACTTAGAACAAACATGTAAACAAAAACTTTTATATTTCTGAAAAAAAAAAACTGGCCCATGGGGGGATCGAACCCACGACCTTCGCGTTATTAGCACGACGCTCTAACCAACTGAGCTAATGGGCCGGTGGGTCTTACGCTTTCCTTCATCATTGAAATCTGTGATGTTCCACTATTATTTTATAGATTCTTTATTTTCTTTCGTGTCAAAATATAATTTAAAATTAGAATTTTTATGAATGAAACAAATTCTTTTATATGAATTTACTATAAAAATGCAATTGTAACAATATGGAACCTTTTTTAAACTTGAAGCAAAATAATTATTAATTCTCATTTCATGGATGTATCAATTTGTTCAATGCATTTACTGCTGCAATAGAAATGCCTATAAAAACAAAAAAGATGGGAACATGTGGCAATTCTTCATTTTTTCTACACTATGTTTATAAAAAAACAGTTCCTCTTTGTTCCTCATTTCTCTTTTGTTTGAATCATTTATTCAAATGCTAAAGCATTTGTCTATTCTTTAAATTATTTTATATCTCTACAGTCTGATCTTAAATTTTTGAATATAAAAACGTTTGAATACAAATTATAGATTTAAAAATCTGAACTAATAATTTTTCGAATATATTGAAATTCGCTTAATTTTAATATTATTAAGATGATTCATTTTTACACACTCAAATATATATTTTTATGTAACATATTTGGGGTAACAACAAAAGAATAATACAATTATAATTTTTATTTTTATTACATAATACAAAATAATCATAACTTTTGTTCTAGTCAGTATATGACGAAAAATCTACAAAACCTATAAGACTACATTCTGCTTCCAAGATTGTTAAATCTGTTGTTGCTCCTAAGAATCTTGTAGACAATTCCAAATCACGAATTCTTAATCTAACAAGTGTACCTCTGGTGTATTTACTGAAATAAGAAAAAAAGCAATTATTATTATCCATCAAGATTAGATGTTTTCTTTGCTACTTACTCTGAATTTAGTTTGGGTCTTACACATACGCAATGAAATTTCCATCCAAAGTCAATATATAAATCATCGTGAACTACTTGAAAAATTTTTCCTAGTACTACCTTTCCCTCAGGATCTCCTAACTGAAATATAATTAATATTATCATGAATGACAACAGGTAATGCTAGGCTATATAAATATATAATACATCTAGTATTTACATCTATGAAGTTAGAATATCGAAGTAAGGAAGAGAAAGTAGAGCGCTTTGAACTCTTGGCTATTTCAGTCATTTGACTTTCCTCAACTAATTTCTGGAAAGTGTTTAATTCATCTTTTGCACTTTGTTTCATTGTATTTGTCGGACTCCCATCGGAAACATTTGTCGTACAATAATTTTGTGTTAAGATTGAACTAATGTGCGGTCTACAAACAGTAGCCAGTTGTGTTATTTTCTGGTAACGGCAGATTTTGTTCATTTTAGGTGTAGACGAGAAAAATACTATTTATTAAAAACTTATAGGTTATGTTGCAATAATGTTTTCTACCAGTCGATATATATACACATAATGCCAATTTTACGAAAGAGGAAATTCAAATATTACGTTCATGAATGAAAGATTTCAGACCATTCTGCGCATGTTAGCTTTGATTGGTTTAAGATCTAACTTAGTTAAGAATAACATACAAGTGCTCTTATAATGTTTAAAACACCGCATTTGTATACCTATTTTTATTTTGTTACTTCCTACATTATCAACTCTCTTATCACTTATCACTTGTAGTTCACCCTGTTCGCCGGAGTGTCACCTCTTGTATCCCTACTTTTTAACATAGGCATGTCCCGTCTTGTTATATTTTTAGTTTATGTTTGAGCATGCAAAATGTTTCATGTATAGTATCTTTTTGAAGATATCTAACATAAAATGTTACATATTATACGATTTTAATGAAGTAAAACGAGTAAATTAAGTACTGGCAAATGTATAATATATATGAGCATATCAAATACAATCCCTTACTACTCTATTAATTAACGCGTTGAAACTTTTAGGATTGCAAAGTAAGTAGAAAATGTAACTTTGAAGCTAAATCGAATGTAAAGGTAAACTTTGAAGAATTAGTAGTAAAACTTATTATCACTTTTCATTAAGATATAATATTTATTCCGGTAACCTATTTATGATTAAAGCCGCGATAAATAACATTTTATATACATTAAAGATATTAAATACGTTATCGTTGTAAATTAACGTTAACCTTATATATTTCAGAAAGGGTTGCAATAATGTTTATGAACAGTGTAATATTTCATACTATATCCAGGAGTATTTCTACATCATCAATGTCCAACCAAATAATCAGAAGGTCACGATTGAGAGTGGTGGATAATAGCGAAATTGGAAAACAAGCAATGCAGGAAGGAAAACCACCACGATGTATACATGTTTATAATAAAGTGGGAGTTGGGTACCTAGGTAGGTTTATAAATAAAATATATTAGTGATAAAGTTTCAATTTTATTTTTGAATATTGCAGGAGACAAAATTTTAGTCGCGATAAAGGGTGAAAAGAAGAAAGGTATATTGGTTGGTTTGAAACAATCTCAAAATGACAAAGTTCCAAAATTTGACAGTAATAATTTAGTTCTCATAGACGATAATGGAACACCTTTGGGTACCAGAATTCAGGTTCCAATTCCTCACATTCTTAGAACAATAATGAAGCAGAAAACACATACCAAAGGTGCAGATTATACAAAGTTGTTAGCTATTGCAACAAAATTTGTGTAACTGATATGTATAAATGACAAACTATTGAATGTATTACATTATATGTATATATATGTGTGTAGAATTAATTAAATATTGTTGCATAGATTATGCTGTTATAATCATTTTTTATGTTCGGTAAGAAGATGTAATTTGTAATCGTTTATCGCTATTGATATGCGTAATTATTTATTCACCGAGTATATGACCATAAAGTGAGAAGCAGCGATAGACGGATATTGTATCGGTGGGGATAAGCGTCTTGAAGTCGGTTGAATTGCGTGAAATGAATATGTTCTCTCGTGAAAATTGATTGGTAAAGTACGATAAAAAAGTGAAAAAGCATAACTTTCAGTTTTCGTTTTATTATCGTATTTTAGTCATTTTATTAAAATGATTAATATTCATATATAAATACGAACATGGAAATATTAAAATAATAAATTTAGTTAAGAAAATCGAATTGTCGTTAGTTGAGTGTTGAGACCTAATAGTCACACTATGATAGGGACATTTGAAGGAAAAGAGGAATTTCGGGCTAGTGTTGAAACGATAACGATAGTGGTTGTCTTATAAATGGCGACTCAGAGAAAAGCACGCTGTTTCACTTAACCGCGAGATTTTACGTTGACGAGTTTTGTGTATGTAACAAGTATTTTTAATAACAACGTACGAATCCACAGTCAATGATGCAATTTGATTGCTATACCGTTTTCTAAACAAAAAGTAAAGTATATAAATTTTTAGGTATAAAAATTGACTAAAATGGGGAACGTACTCGCATCCTCTGTAACTCCTCCGCCTTCGCCGCCACCTCCAACTTCGGGCTTATTGCCTAGTTTAGAAAAACAGGATTTATCTACGGGATTACATACGTCTACTAAAGGCCCTGATAGTTTAGAAAATCCAGGAACGATCGAGGATCTTCATAAAAAGTGTAAAGGTATCGGTGCAGTTCGATTCGTTTTCCTATCTTTGACATTATTTCGACTGATAAACTCGGTTGATTTTAATCATAACTTAAATTGAGTTTTTCTGTGATGGCAGATGTGTTCCCTGTAAATTTCGAAGGTGCAAAACTAATGTTCAACGAAAGCCTTAGTAATCACTTTCAAATTTCCCATACAATAAATATGAGTTCCATCACACAATCTGGATACAGGTAAGATTAAAGAAAATAAGACACTGTTACAGCTATTTGTTTTCTGATCGAATAATTTTATCGAAAACTGCTTAGGTTTGGCGCAACCTATGTTGGTACACAGCAGCCAGTACCCACGGAAGCTTATCCAGTTTTACTGGGAGACATTGATCCAAGCGGAAATTTGAATGCTAATATCATTCATCAGTTTGGTCAGAAATTAAGAGGGAAACTAGCTACTCAAGTACAGAAAAGTAAATTTACAGCTGTACAAATGACAACCGATTATCGTGGCGATGCTTACACGTTGTCTCTAACTTTGGGTAATCCAGATATCCTAAATGGTTCTGGTAAGCGTGCGAGGTAAAGGTCGATGGCGTGAAATTTTCGAAACGATTATGGTACCAAATTAATGTTTTTAGGCGTCTTCGTGATGCATTATCTACAGAGTATAACACCTTCTATCGCGTTGGGCGGAGAATTAGCTTATCAACGGGGTCCTGCCGTACCAGGAGGTCAAGTCGCCGTCTTATCCGCCGCTGGAAGGTATACTTGTGATGATTCCACGATCAGCGCTAGTTTAGGTGCGTAGAAAATAATGTTAGGGGTCCGAAGAGTCCTCCAGTTTCGACATAATCAGTTTTATCATCGGTTATAACGCGATTTCGTTTGAGCAGGTTTGTCCGGGTGTCACCTCTGTTTCCATCAAAAAGCTAGTCAACAGTTGCAGATTGGAGTGGAATTGGAAATAAATTCTAGAATACAGGAATCCACCGGCACTATAGCTTATCAAATCGATTTACCAAAGGCCGATTTAGTATTTAGAGGTAGAACGGTGTTTCTTTCGTAGACGGAACAAGCGAATCGCGAGACGAAACAGAACGGGATGAACACGAACGTAATTTTGATTTCAGGGAGTGTAGACACAAATTGGACAGTGGGTGCTGTCTTAGAGAAGAAATTGCAGCCGTTACCATTCTCGTTCGCGTTAAGCGGTATGATGAATCATGGAAAACAACAATTTCGGCTGGGCTGCGGTTTGATAATCGGTTAAGGCTAGCATTTAGTTGAATGTCGGTCGAGTACATAATCTAGCCAAGCGACGAGAGGAAGAACAACGGAGAGTAATTCAACCTCCGTGCATGCTGATTAAAGGCACGTTGCAATCGATACCGATGGTACCCAGTCGATTATCTTCTTCTCGTTGATTACCTCGTCTGTTCGCTATTGTGTTTATACGACCATTTTGTTTGTTTATTTTTTATTAAAGATACACCGTACCAACAGGATTTTCTCTCATTGCGTACATTCTTTTATTTTAAGATGCGCGGTTGTGCGCGTGTGCGTATGCGTGTGGATGTGCGTGCGAATATGCGTTACGCGTGCTTTCTTTTATTTACGCGTTAGTCGCATTTACAATCGATTCATTTGGCAGCGTAAATCTTGTTTGATAGTTAAAAGAATGCACGCGTACGCATGAACGCGCATAAGCGCGTGCAATAACGGTGATAAGACGTTTCATGGTTCGAAACGATGAAAATTTTGAACAGACGTTAAAAATTTACCCATCGTTGTAAGAATATTATCGACGTTGAAGTTTAGTAAATCATACAGAGTTTCATCATCGGACCTCGTAACTCGATTGCAAAATATCAAGCGAGTAATCTCTCGTCTTTTCTTACGTTTTTCATTCGGGCACGACGTACAAAAAAGTGTTACCGTGCTTTTCGTTATCGCTTGCGAGGATATTTGGAACAGGAGGTAATACGATTAATTGAAAGGAACATGAATCTTTTGGCAACGTTTATTTCTCTTCTTTTAGCAATTGTAAAAAAACAGTTGAAGCAGAATGAGATACAGCGAAGTGAAACGGCATACGATGAAACGAGGCTATAATAAAGTTGGCTTTAAAATTGTTCACGTTTCGTCATTTCTTTCCGAGGAATTTCATAGACAAGCATAGATGCGCATCGCGTTAAACAGAGGCGCCCCCAATTTAGAAAAGAATAGAGCTGGTTTTGGGAGGACGCGTTATTTTAATTTAAATAGAATAAAACAAATCGGGCCAAAAAGAGATAGTAAGTTGTTCGAAAAGTTGTCCGTCTAGTTCTGATATACGGATGTGCCAGGTTAACGCGCAGTCTACATTTCTTGTCTATGATCGAGTTATACACTTCCTTGGACAGATATATTATTACCAATAAATCCCGACAATTTCATCGATACGTCCACTCGTCTTAGACCGTGTTGGAGGTGTCAGTACGCTTCTTCATGAAATATCCCCCGAAGGAAAGAAACCGTACAACGTAAAAAGGTAGAACGAGCGAACGTTACGTAAAGGAAGTTACTCGACCAAGTTTATAATCTCTATTAGAGGTTTAATAAATGAACATCAAACTCGACTATTATATTTGTTTATTTGTCCCATTAAAAAACTAATTGATACAAACGAAAAATTAAAAAGCAAAGAGTAGACCGAAATATCGACGATCGATATCAACGTGTTGCGGGATGTAACATTTTGTTTTGCTATCGTTACACGTCGCATCGGCGCAAACGTGCCTGGAAAAATGTAGTCGCGCATCGTTGAACAATATCGACCTTTGACCGACAGCCATTTTTGCTTCGAATCGGCAAGACCAGTTACCGTTCTACTTACCTCGAATATAATAGCAATAGTTACATGCGATAATAGTACATACGATGTTTAGTACGATTCGATAACGTAATTGAGCGTTTGGATTTTCTCAATGGCGAAAAAGTACCGTCAAAAGGGTACCGTTGTCGACCAACATCGTCGATAATAACAACTCGTAACGCTAATTTATCCCTTAATTAGTTGCAACGGCATGCGCGACAACGCATACGTGACACGTGTTTCAAGTCGGAATATGGTTAAGAGAGAGAAAGAGAGAGAGAGAAAAGGAGAAGGTACGAGGAAGTTAGCGGAAGAAGGATATCGTAACACCAGCTTAGTTTTAGCACGTCGGCGTTTTGAAAAGAAAATAATTTAAACGACAAAACATGGTCGACAAAGATGACGGATCGACGTTACGTTTGCTTATTCGCTTCGCGTCTTTTGTATAGACGTACCGGAGCTGAAACTCTGGCGAGAAGGTTGATCGTTCGTAGAGGAAAACAATAAGCGAAGAACGGTGAGGTTGTTAAAAGAGATTGGCAACGAGCGAAGCGAACCCCCGTGTGTTCCATTGCGTGGAACGAGTCTCAAGGATCGAGATTTTAGTCGATCGGTAATTTTCTTCTATTCGGAAACGAACGAATTTTTTCGCCGTCGCGTCGCGTCGGAGAGATAACGCGAGCGCGGTTTAAGAATAACTCGTAGAAATTCGAAGGAATTAATCAGATTTCGTTTTTCGAATTTCGAAACGAGAATAATTCATGCTACGAGAATAATTGGCAACAAAGAAGCATAGAATAGTTACGTTATCGCCAAGGTAACGTTTCTTTTCGCGTAATTTTCCTCGCACAGCTATTATTTCGTATCACTTTACGACATTTAAGTTGGCATTCGAGCTCGTAACTTTTCGGAGTTTTATTTAAACGAGTTTCTTCGAAATATAAGCACGGTTGTTTACAAAACTATTGCCGGCAAACGTTGGTCGTCGATTCAGTCGATCAACTATCGTGGCGTGTAAGTAGTTAGCTCTTTCTTTCTCTCTCTCTATATGCTCTCTATACGCTCTGTATGCTCGTGTTCCCCTTACCCTCAGCCCCGACGTACTCTAGTTACCGATAACGCGTTCGTAAGCTATACATATAAGTATATACGTATATGTACCGGAGAACTTGCCATCCGCTTCGAGGTAATTCGATGGCGGATACTACTACGCGTACGAAAAAGTCGAGGTTGTCGGTTGGTTTAACGAGCGTACGTTTTTTTTTCGTCCAGTATTCGTAAAAAGAGAAAAAAAGGACAAGGAACGAAGTAATTGGACGAGAGCAGGAACTTTTACGCGAGAACCGCGTTTAAGTCGAATGAATGAACGAAGCAGCGAACGGAGAAATGAAATCTGATCGTTCGCGTTGAAGGCGAATGAATGAACCGCGTATCCTTGGACGTCGATGTCGAGTCGCATCTGGGTAATCTCGGTGAATCGAAACGATCGGGTCGGACCGGTTGTAAATCGATTAAGGGAAGCTTGTTAGCGGGAAGCTGTTTACGTAAATAGACATTACGCGATAAGCCGAGAGACGTTATCGGGGAAATCGCGGCTGATCATTGTTGGTCGATTCGGTTGCAAGATGCGTTTCGGTACGCGTAGATCGTAAATTCGTAGGCTGGCATTTTAGAGTGACTCATTCGCACGAACGATCGGTATTTTCGTATTTTCGTTGCCGCAGGTAATTTGTTTACGCGCAGCACGAAACGATCGCGAAAGAAAAGCTCGTGACTCATCGGGACTCATCATAAAGGGTCGTATACGTAAGTACTTACGCGAGTACCAAGCGGACGAACAGCGCATCGTTGCGTTTGCAGTTTGCGCGCAAATATTTACGCGACACGAAAATCGAACAACGCGTTTCAAAGTCTTTGCTCGAAGGAATCATCGCGTCGAGCACGATGCTCCGCTTCTCTACGTTGTCTACGTAGCTCCATGACTAATTATATTCCAGATCAGTTGGCGTTACGTGAATAAGCGACGAATAAATAAAAAGAAGAAGATAGGAAAATGCAGGGACAGACGTTACGTTGCTCGTATCGTTTCACCGTTGTTCAACGAGGTTTAATCGATGACTTACCGATAAATTATCGATAAAGTCGATAATTTAAGTCGGAGGACAGCAAGGTAAGTTGGATGGGTAACGACATAATATCGGCGAGACAAGAGCGGTAAAAGAAATAGACAAAGAAGAAGAAAAAGGACGAGAAGGCAACGAAGATGGAAAAGCGACGGAGAGGAAGGCAAGAGGGGCAGCGGGTTTGATTTAGGTTCGGAAGGGTGACGGAGCGACGGCTCACGAAGGAGGGGATCATTAGAATTTGAGACCGAGGAGAAGGAGAAGACGGAGAAGAAGGAGGAGGAGGAGAATGTGACGACAAATACATGTATATGTATATTCCAGCGGAGCGATAAGAAAGATACACGAAGAAAGGCAAGAATTATATTCGCGATAGACAGAAACAGAAGGAACGGACATAAATCGAGGCGTACGAACAGGAGCATGCAGATGCATCGAGTTATAGTTTTCTTCGGCGTTATTCTCCTCTTGTCCCTTGAGCAGCGCACACAAGAACGAGTCGAACGCGGGTTCACCGAAGGTTTTCCCATTTAAACGATTGCCGAACAAGACTTTTCTTCGGGAAAATGATTCGGTTCCACTTTCGAATCGAACGGAAAAACGCTACGATTCCGTTGATTCGGCCGTCCGCCTTCTCCGTGTTTCTTCCACTCTACTCAGGCTGCTTCTGTTCCGTCCATACGCGATACGGGCCCCAGTCCCGTCGTCGATCCTGAGAACGGTGGTCAACGCGTACTCCGCTCGAATCGGTGAACGACGGAAAGATTTCGTTCGATCGAATCGTCGTTGGTCGGTGTTTGTTGGAAACGCGAACTAGCACGATCGCGCGGCGGCAGTCGGTTATCGTGTCCGGTCAGAAGAGAACCGCGAACGGACAGGAAAAAGAAGGAGAGAAGGTTCGCCGTTCGCGAGACCGTAGTCGTAGTCGATTTTCGAACGGTCGTCGCGAATCGTTCGACGATGAAAAGAGGAAGAGGCACGGAGAAAAGTCACGGAGACGATACGAACTATCGACGAAACGAACACGGTGAGCTAACTTTGCCCATTTTCCTGATAGTCACCGCGCGAAACATTAACGCGCAAATATATCGGGTGATTCGATAGCGCGGCGGTCGAGAAAACGAAGAAACTCTGTCGAGAAATCGGTTAGCTACGGGTCGATGGTCCGCGACTCACTGGAGAACCGGTAGCCGATCGTGGGGGATGTATATACGTTGGATATCAGAGTGATAATTTCACTGGTGCGCTGTCGATAACGCGACTTACGCGTTCGTCGTCGTCGTCGCCGTGGTCGTCATCGCGTATCCGTAAATCGCTGCTCGATCCGCGACGAATATTTCTGTTCGAGCAATTTCCTTTCTGAAAAAATTTCTTTCCTGTCTGCTACTTCCCGATCGTTCCTGCATCAACGAACGCATTCGACCGTTACAATTTTCTACGCTCTCGTTTGTTCCCTTTTTCTTCGGTAGTTCGATCGTACGCAGCGTATTCGTCGGTGCTCGCAGACCAGGCGAACGAGCATTTCGGTTCTTAGAATCGCCCGACGAACGATCAACCTTTATTTCGGAACAAATTAGAATGAAGGAATACGCTATCGAATTCGGACTCCTTATCGTTTCTATTAGTTCCGTCTACCCCCACTAATTTGCTCGTTGCCTTCAAAGTAATTTGTTCGCTTCGGAATCGATCGAATCGAAAGGCAAACGAATCGAAAGAATCGAATCGAAAGAAAGCACGACTAGACGATCGAATTTTGTTTGGAAAGTCGAACGTTACGATGAATCATCTGTTCTTGCTCCATCGATGATACGTTTGTTTGCGTTATTCCGTTCGTCCATTCGTCTGTTTCTTCGTCCGTCCGTTCGTACACACTCCCCCTGATCCGTTTGTTGCCTCGACGCGCAACCGATCGTGCTCGACTAGCGGATCGATATACGTAGATCACGGGACGAATTTATTTAGGCGATTCGCAGAAACGAAAAGGAATTCCGATTGGCGTCTTCGAAGGTGCGAATTCACCGGGGTAAAGGTCGGGGTTCGCTAGTTTCCGCGTATTCAGGGGGATTGAACGCGGTTCGATGCTCGTAAAGAGGTTTCGGAGTACGCGTATAGGAGAGAACGCAAAGTTCCGACTAGTCGAGGGTCCAAGTCCAATCTCGTTATCGGAGTTTTTCTACCATCCGGCGGACACGTTGTGCCGTCACGGGTCAACGTACGCAACAATAGCACGATATTGGCGTTATTTGCGTCGAAACGTTAATTTTCACTCGGTCCGTGAAACACGGCCGTTCTCGATAATCGGAACGATCGACTCGTGTTTCGTCGAATCGATGCTCGTCGAAGGAAAACGAAGAGATCGTCGCTTACGGGCGCAAACGGGAGAAGACGGAAGAGAAGGATGCGCCGTCGCGTATCGAGGATGTCGTAAAACGGCTGCGACCATTTCCTTCTACGCGAATTTTCCCCTTGATTTCATCGCGACAACCCTCGGAACGAGATCGATCGTGGCTTAGGCAGGTTTACGAGCCGATCGAAGCAGGAAAATTGCACGGTGCGTTAAGTCGGATCGTGTCGCGTCGCGTTTCCGTTTCTTTGCCGCGAGCCTCGAGAAAAACGAGTCTCGGAGTGGTCGCGAATGAATAGCGTTCGCGTACCATTGCGTTACGTTATTTACGATCCGTCTGGGTTACCCATTGTTTTCGAGCTTCTCGAAACGGCGAGTTAACGCACCGGCAGTTTAAACTCGCGACTACCGTTTGTTCCAGTTTCTACCGGTGTCGTTTTTCTAACGCGATCGGTGTTTTCCTTCTTTTTTCACCGGTTTGCGTTGGAATTTTTCGAATAGACTTTCCGTTGCTTCGGTTGGCTCGCTCTCGACGGAAAAGGACGAGAAAAACGCGAAGATTCTGGCAAAGGTCGAGTAGAATTTCGGCGCGAACGCGAACGGCGGATCGAAAGAGCGGAGACGAGGAACGTCGCACGAGCCTCCAAAAGCGAACGTTCGAATGCCGGCGACCGAATCGATGGCGACTCTCGCGACGACTGATTTCGCGAAATATCGAGCCGATGGG